AGGTGCCAGTTAGTGCCATTACTGTTATAAGGGCTAACACCTGGGCTTTTCCCACTATGACAAGTCAAAATGTTTGCTCTGAAAATGGCCTGGTCTTCTCAGGTCAGTCCCTCAGCTTTATGTAAGTCAAACAGGAGTGCGCTACGCCAAGTCTACAAAGCACGACAAAACACACACACAAAACTATGTGTACATGGGCTGTCCACATACTTTTGGCCGTGTAGGGCAGCAGCAGCCTTTCTGAGTGCGCCTGTGCAGAGAAGCAGCACGTCTTACTCTGACAGAGAGTCAAACTGGCCTATTTAGTCTCCTGCACGACCACATGCAGCCGTGCACCCCTGCCATCAGTGGGGACCCCTACCACCAGGTATAATTTGGATGCATGTAACATACATTATACACATACAATACGACATACCTACAAACAGGAGCTGAGGTGATAACCAGCTAGTTTACATCCTGAGACCAAACTCAGAGCATCGCCCCCCCACCCCAAAAAAAAAGCTGCACAAAACTGATTGAGATTGCAACTGCGTGCTCCAGCGACTGTGACTATCCCCCACAGCCACATACAGTGCAGCAGGGCAGGTGTTTAAACCCACCACTGCTGTGAAACCAGACAGAAACAGTCCGTTTTATCGGCTTGTAGCTTTTAGGTTTAACACCGAGGCTAGCTCTCACCTGACAGGTTGCGTTTCTTGCCCCTGCTGTCGCCATTTTTGTCGTTGATCCTCAGCGTCTCCGTGAGTCCGTCTCTGTCCTTGTTCTTCTCTGCGCTGGCGGCCTTCGTGTCCCTCTCGCTGTCCTCCTTCTCCTTCTCTTTCTCCTCTCCGAGACCTGACGACTGCGAGTCCGCCATCTTCGTCCGACGGTCTCATCTGCTGCCTGGGAGACTGACAACTGCGTCACATGATCTGACGTCATCGCGCACCGCAGTTCCGCCGGATCGCCGGCAGGTGGCGCCAAAACGTCCGTTTCAAGCTCAAGATGTTTATTCAGATGAGGTATTACTTTAATGGTCCCACAATGGGGAAATTCCAATATGACAGCGGCAGAGTGGATAGAGAAAAAAAAAAGGGTTTTTTACTATTCTATTATTAGTAATATTGTGTTTTTTTGTTACTTATTGTATTTACTATTGTATTTTAATGCGTTGTATCAGGGTGGACAGCAAAGAAAGAATTCCATTGCACAGGGAGGAAAACTTGCTTTCTCTTGTTGCATAGTGACAATTGCAACTTATTTATTATATTATATTTATGCAATTGTTTGTCAATAACAATGTGCAATAATCAACGGACAATTAATTTACTTGGAAATCTATTGCCCATGGTGCAAACTGCCTGCTAGTATTTGTGTTATTGCGTTATCTCTTGTACAGTGTTTATATTATATTAATTATATTATTTTCATAACTCTATTGTTTTTA